CCAGCCTGGTCTGTAGAGTGAGTTCCATGCAGCCAGGACTACACAGAGAAACTTTATTTTGAGAGAGAGAGAGAGAGAGAGAGAGAGAGAGAGAGAGAGAGAGAGAGAAGAAGAAGAAGGAGGAGGAGGAGGAGGAGGAGGAGGAGGAGGAGGAGGAGGAGGAGGAGAGGAGAGAGAAAGAGCAAGAGAGAAAGCGAGCTCATTTAATTGGGGGCTTGCTTCCAGTGTCAGAGGCTATAGTCCATCATCATCACCGTGGGGAGCATGGCGGCAGGCATGGCAGGCAGGTGCTGGAGAAGTAGTTGGGAGCTACATCCAGTGACACACTTCCTCCAACAAGGCTCACCTCCTAATTCTTCTCAAATAGTGCCACTCCCTGGTGACTAAGCAATTCAAAAATATGAGCCTATGGGGCCATTCTTATTCAAACCACCACAGCTAGATAACATCTTCATGTCCTTTTCTTACTGTAACTGTTTTGTTATGTGGGCAACTTCTTTTTGGGTCAATGGCTAAATCTCAGATGAATGTCTTTTCACTCACAACAAGGCCCGTGAAATTGACTGCACAGCCTGCTTCTAGTTCTGTCTTACATATGCTACTTTCAGAAAGTGCACATGGTTCATCAGCCATTTAGGAAACTACACCATATTTGTGTGGTGGACCCCATTCATCAAGGAGGCATGCTACCCTATTTAGAAGAACATCATCACCTTGGAATTCCTCAAGGATGTGCCACTCTTAGCTTGGCTTTGTTAGCATGTCTTAGCATGTTTATCACAGGATCATGCAATCACCAAGGAGGTACACCATGAGGAAAGGAGCCCATGTTGAGACTGCCTCCTCAGACACTCAATCTTCACACAGTTCAGCCTTAGTTATATGTCTCATCACCCATCACAGGGGCCAAACAATTGTTCCCAACTCATCTTTGGTCATGGTTTGGTCACCAGCTGTGTTGTGTGACTTTTTCTGGAGAGACATGAACTCTCCCGACACTCTTCTCCTCATTGCCCAGTTTCCACCTCCTTTACTCACTAGGACCACAGCCTGAGTCTGGGTTCCTCCTCTTTGAATTGTGTCCTGGAAACCATCCAGGTGCAATGTGATTTTAGATTATGAGGGGTTTTTTTTTTGAGATGGATCTGTCTGTATAACTCAGGTTTACCTGAACTTTCTATGTAGACCAGACAATCCCCAAACTTATAATTCCACCTCTGCCTTTTGAGTGCTGGATATGTGCATCCGTGTTTTGCTTTGTTTCCAGTGTTAGAAAAAGCAAAGCTCTGTTCAGATTTCTGGATCTCTTGTTATTAAGGTGGAAGGGCAAATCAGTCCCTGATATTCCGTATTGACTGGAAGCAGTTTCTCAAAAAGCGTTTCTGATATATTTCCATATTGAAACATATATATTTAACTCATATTCTTGTATCTATTTTTTTTTTTTTTGGCATCAAGGACAGAACCAAGAGCTGTGTGTTTGCTAAGCAAGCACTCTACTACTGATCCACACCACCAACCAAATTCAAGTTCATGTTTCAATTTTTTCTTATTCATTGATTGATTGATTTTGGTTTTGCGTGTGTGTGCATGCGTGTGTTGTGGTACATGTGTGGAGGTCAGAGGACAACTTGTGGAAGTTGTTTTTTCCCTTCTACCATATGGGTCCCAGGGGTCAAACTCACGTCATCAGGCTTGGTGGCCAGTGCCTTTACCAGCTAAGCCATCTCACCAGCCCCATAGTTCACACTTTCACTCATTATATGGATAGGTTACATTTTAAGGCAACCTTCTCTTAGAATAAAAACATGCATAAATAGAACTTCTTGCTCTTAAGACATGTTCATTATAGAGTCAATAGGTTGTTATTTTTCAGAGCCATTCAGTAACATTTTCATCCATTCACACACACACACACATACACACACACACGAGCAGCAGAGAGAGAGAGAGAGAGAGAGAGAGAGAGAGAGAGAGAGAGAGAGAGAGAGAGAGAGAGAGAGAGACTTATTTCCTCACATCATCATAATGGTACATTATCAAACACAAAAGTTTTGAGCTAGGGCTGGAAAGATGACCCGATGGTTAAGAGCATGTATGTACTGTTCTTGTGGAGGACCTGGCCTCCGTTCCCAGGACCCACACTGGGAGACTTGTAACCACCTGGAACTCTGGCTCCAGGGGATCCAATGCCCTATTCTGGCTTCCATGGGCACTAGAACTCTTCTTCCCTCAATACACAAATTAAAAATAAAACAAAGCTTGAAAATAAGATTAGGACAATGTAAAGAAGGGGGTAACAGCATTTTTCACTTTCTTGAGTACTATTAATGTTAAGCATATTTTCTTTGCATCTCTTCAGTGGTATATATGTTTTACTTTTCTCAGTTTCTTGTATGTATATATCCTTAGCTCCATTTTCTGTTGCATTTCTCTTTATTAATTGTGTGTGAGTATTTTGAAAGCTATGCATCTGCTTGTTAGTGTTGTTGGCAAATGTTTTTCAGTGTGGAACTTGTGTTTGATTTTCATCCACAGTGTCATTTCTTGAACATGCATTTATCTTAATGTTCACAAGGCCAGTCTTACGGATACTTCCCTTACAGTTTTTTTTTTTTTTAAATTTTTTTTTTTTTTTTTTTTTTGGTTTTTCGAGACAGGGTTTCTCTGGGTAGCTTTGCGCCTTTCCTGGATCTCGCGCCGTAGACCAGGCTGGCCTCGAACTCACAGAGATCCGCCTGGCTCTGCCTCCCGAGTGCTGGGATTAAAGGCGTGCGCCACCACTGCCCGGCCAGTTTTATTTTATTATGTAAGAAAGTCTTCTTATTCTAAGATCATGGAATGAATTTCTATCTTCACAAAGTTCTTATTATTCTACCATCTTATAGTTAGGGGTCTAAATACTTTCAAATTTATATTTCATGGTTGTGAGCTGGAGATCTGATTTCTTTTGATACAAGGGACCTGTGGTGCCAGCTTTGTTGATGGTCCATTCTTAGATGTGCTGGTTATTGTCCATTGAGAAGCAAGGCTCTAGATGAAGGCTCTACATGCCTTTCCTTGTCTATCTGTGTCTATATGAAAGGTTCTAGTGTTAACCCCATGTGCTGGAGAGTTTTATGTCAACTTGACACAAACTAAAGCCATCTAAGAGGACAGAACCTCAACTGAGAAAATGTTGCCATAAGATCTGGCTGTAGGCTAGCCTGTAGGGTACTTTTTAAATGAGTGATTGATGTGGGAGGGCCCAGCCCATTGTGGGTAATGCTACCCCTGGGTTGGTGGTCCTGGCTTCTATAAGAAAGCAGACGGACAAACCATGGGGAGCAAGTCGGTAAGCAGCACCCCTCCATGCCTCTGCATCAGTTCCTGCTTTCAGGTTCCTGCCCTGTTTGAGTTCCTGCCCTGACTTTGCTTAGTGATAAAACTGTTACCTGGTAGTGTAAGCCAAATAAACCCTTTCCTCCCCAAGTGGATTTGGTCATGGTGTTTCATCACAGCAATAGTAACTCTGATTAGAACACCCCACTTTTTACAGGTGGGAAAACAGAAGCTCAGTAAGATGTATGGCCGCAAGCAAGTGGTGGAGGCAACCCACACCCTGGGTGATGTACTGCACCAGGGTATTCTAAGGTTTGTCCTGGGAAATTTGTGGAGAAGCAGAAAAAGGTGGTTAGTCCAGTCTTGTCCTGCTGACCTTTCGGACTGGGTGGTTCTTTGTATGGCTTCAGGAGCTTCCTACCACACACCAGTAGTACCTGGCTGCCCTCCTCTCCATGCCCAGCCCCTGTCTGTGGTAGTAAAACATACTGCCGGACACTGTTAAATGTCTCCAAGGGGTGGCAACGTTTCTCTGTTAAGTGCCACTTGTTTAACTAATATGAATGACTATGAATTGTTGATATCGATTATTAATACCACTAATGCTAGTGGGAGAGATGCTAATTATGAAGCATGATCAATCACGTATTTCTTCTGGTGCGGTGGCCTCTGTCCCCGTTCAGTCATGCTTTTTCTACAGCCATCGATTTCTTCCTGCCTGAGTCTCCTCAGCCTGCCAGAGGGGAGCCGTGTGCCACCCACACTGGGAAACATGTGTAGAAAATATTTTCAGCAGTTTGTTGACAACGAATAAGAGTGGAAAAATAAAGCCCTGCTGATGTCAGACGATTCTTAAATGCAGATGTGGTGGCGGGAAGCTCTCCACATTCATGACACAAATTCACTAGAAACACATCTGGCACCCCCAGCATACAGCCCAGCAGCTCTGTAAATGGAGATGGCCATGCCATTCAATGATCAAGACCCCTTAGTCCCCCCATCATTCATAGTTGTTAAAGGTGACATTCACTTTCAATTTCCAAGTGCTGAGCAAGATCTAGTCTGGTTTAGGATATTGTCGTTAGCTGGTCAAGTGAGACCTTGTATTTTTAAAGTCAAAATAACTAGAGTGGATTTCTTCACTCCTATAATGGAAGATGGGTGCCTTATCCCTCTTGAGTGGCCCAGCTCCAGGGATCCCTCTGAGAGGCCTCCAGTTAGTTTCAGTTTCCCCTCTGCACAGGAGGATTATTGAGAAATTTTACTTAGCCCCATGTGAAGTTGAGAGCCTTGATGTTGCAGATGTCACCTCACTGTCCGAGTGTCCCCATCAGGTAAATAATGTGGCACATTCTTGGGCAGCACAAACTGAGTTTAGTGACTGCTTCTTTGTTTTGTGGTGCCAGAGATTTGAACCCAGAGCCTCACACATATTGAGCAAATGCTTTACCACTGAGCCCACAACCCCCAGACCCTTTTGGCCCATTTTCCATAAGGCTCATTAAAACATTCCAGGCTCCACTGTCGCCTGTCCCACTTCTTCTGGGTCCCCTCAGCTTTGAGCTCACCCTCCAGCCCCATGGGGAGAGACTGGGGGTGTCAACAGATCTGGGGATCCTTAAAGGCAGATCTGGGTCATCTTCTTATTTTTCTGAGGTCCCCTCACTCTGATGCAGGCATAGGAGGTCCCCTCACTCTGATGCCGGTATAGGAGGTCCCCTCATCCTAATGCAAGTATAGGGCCATCCTATACTTCTAGGTAAGACCATCGGGGAACTGGGGCTCAGCAAATGACAGGAAAACATACTGGCTAAGTGCAGCAGTGTCCTGGGGTTGTCACCTCTCTGTGTCCTTTCTGTGTCCTCTGGATTCTTGCTGGCAGGACAGATACACTCAGACATAGAGGCAGAATAAAGTGGTGTAGTAGAGCTCGGCCACCCCCTGCTGAGGACACAGAGTCCCATCTAGGGCTAGCAGTAACACAATGTCCCACCATGCTGCTCAATATTCAGCTGGGGTGTCCCTTCTGTTGGCCCTGCCTACACAGTTCCTGGGTAGGTGAGGCAACAGAAGGTGTACCTAGGTGGCATTGGTTAGAGACAGTCTGGGAGGGAAGGGCCAGGGTTCATTGAGGCTGAGTGCTGGTATCACTGCCATGGACTGCCTGCTGTGGGGTACCTGTGCCCTCTGCTTGCTGAACCTGTTGGGAGTTGTAAGTAGCCAGCTCAGGCCTCCTTCTCTTTTCTTCTCCAGCTGGGTTGGTGGCAGGCCGTGGCTGGGGAACTCCTGAGTCTGCTGGCTCCCTCTTTTCTTCCCTCGACTAGTCTCAGATCCTGCCTGGACATGAGCTGTCCCCTTGTTCCCTCACCCATGTCTTATCTGTTTCCTCTAGGGCTCCCGGAGACGTGTGTCCAGAGACTCTATCTTGGAATAGCTGAGGCCAGATAGGGCCTCTCTGTCACACCTGAGCCTGCCCCTTCTCTAAGCCACACGTCCTCCAGGCTGCCACTTGTTCCTTCTCAAAAAGAACCAACCAAAACCCCCCAATTGTCCTGTCTCCTGAGCCATCTCCAGCAGGGAGTTTGGCCAGGGGTGCTGTGGGGCCTGAGGAGTTAGCTCTTCTGGCTGTGGCATTTGCGGACTCTTTCGTTGGTGATGCCAGGGTTGGAGAGGCCTTCAGCCACTGCTCTCTGGCCTGTGCATCAGGGTGTGGGTCAGCCAAAAGAAGAGGCTTCCCCGAATGTGCTGCAACTTCCCAGCAGACTTTCTGGGTCACTGAAAGTAGCATCAGGGGCCAGGAGGGGAGGAGTCACAAGGCACTAGTGGGAGCACATGGGGACTGAGGCCTGCCTTCTTCCTCTGCTGCCTTGCCAGGGTGGCCGTCCGTCCTGGTACCTCACTGCCCTTCACTCAAGATGCTGGCATCTGGGGACCACAAAGTGAACTGTGTGACACTTGAGACTCCATTTGTCTCTGTAAAAAGAGAAACTTGAGTGTGGTGTGGCGGCTCACACCTGTAGCCTCGGCACTTGCAGAGGCAAGAGTATTACAATGAGTTTGATGTTAGTCTGGGCTACGCTGAGAATGATAGGGCAGCCTACATGGGGCTGCCATGCCTTGGGGAGCAGGGAGGGGATGAGTGATCTGACTTGTCAAGGGCTGGCATGTGGGTGTCATGAGCTCCCTGTATGCCGCAAAGGACTCACACTCTCCTCTGTGTACACAGCCCCATGAAAGCTTCATTTGGGGGAGGGAACCCTAGACCTAAACCTGTCCTTCAGCAACTGGGGTAGATACCTGATTAAGGACTAGAGTTGATGGAACAGTGTGTGTGTGTGTGTGTGTGTGTGTGTGTGTGTGTGTGTGTGTGTGTGTGTGTGATCTTGCAAGGGCATTTGGGTAAGTCTTGAGAGATGTTAGGAATTCTAGTTCTCTTAAGAAAAGGTCAAACGCCAAATCCTAAACATGCCCCAGATCACTTGGGCTCCAGATGGCCTCAGAATCACCCTTCAGAAACACAGAGATGTCCAGAAAAGCTTAGAGACCATTCCTTGTGGCCCCCGGGCTCTGGGAGGTACCCAACCTGCAATCTTTATGATCACCAAGCCACACATGAAGGTGGCATCCTTCTATCCATCTAATGATCAACTCAGCCACCTTGATACAGGACCCTTATCACCCACCATACCTCCATGCATCCTTATGTGTCCATCTTCCCCCATCTCACTTGTCAGTGTGTCTGAACAGCCATCCACTCCACCGGCCCTCTAGCTAGTTCCGCCTCTCCCGGGGACCCCCTTCCTTCCTGCTCTGTGTTCCTTTTCCTCAGTCGGGTGCTGTTGTCTTCTTGCTCTCCCAGCCACCTGTGTACTCTCCCACTTACAAGTCTGCACATTTGCTCATGTAACTTGCCTGAGACACGTCAGAAAGCCAACATGCTTGTCAATGGGCTAAACCCAAATGGTCGGCAGGGCTATGGTTCTTCTGGAGTCTCCTTCCCTGGCCCAAAGCACTTCTTCATCTTCATACTGTAAGCACAGTAGCTCCTTCCGCCCTCTCTTCCCATCATTTTCTCTCTGACTTGATCCTTGGGCGTCCTGATGACTCCGGACCCACTCAGATAATCGAAGACATCTTCCTGCTTGGAGAGATTATCTGCTAAGTCCCTTGGCTGTGTCAGGCTTTGGGGATTGGGAAACGGACATCTTTGGGGACCGTTGTTCTAACTACCAAGGTTGCTTATGCAGAAGCACTTTCAGGGCCTAGAAGTATAGAGCGGGGCGGGGGGGGGGGGAGGGATGGGGAAGGAGAAAAGGCCATGTTAGGGACTGCACTGTCATGTCCATGGGATCTCTAGCTGGCTTTCTTTAACGTGTCTCAGGACTCACTGCCATGAGATGGATAGAAAAGTGCATCCATCCCTCCCTTCTCCCCTCCTCTCTCTCTCCCTCCCTCCCTTCTTTTCCTTCCTCTCCCCTTTCTTCTGCTTTCTTCTCTCCCTCTTTCTCTCCCCCGATTCTTCTCTCCTTTCTGAACTTCCCCCTCCATTCCCCACTCTCTCCTTCTTTATGCCCCACCCCACCCCCCACCAAACGTGCCTTGATACCGGTGGGGCAGATGGGTCTTTCTCAGAATCAGGGCACAGAAATGTCTCCGACTTGGTCTCTGTCTTCAGATGACCAGAGCTAGAGAGCCTGAGGCTGCCACTGGGCTTGGCTCATCCTGTCACCATTTCTCCTAGGCGCAGGGTCACCTCCACCCAGAATGTGACTTCATTACTCAGCTGAGAGAGGATGAGCTTGCATGTCTTCAGGTGGCAGAGGGGACCAACAACACCTCCCTGGGTACGAGGGGGTGGAGGATGGATCCTCCCTGATCCTGACTTCTCCAGCATTGCCCTTCAGAACACCATATCCACTTCCCTCATAGGTCACTCTGTGTCTTCTTCCTCTGCACCTAGGCTGCCCCGGGACCTGGGATGGGCTGCTGTGCTGGCCCCCAACAGGCTCTGGCCAGTGGGTGGCCCTCCCTTGCCCTGACTTCTTCTCTCACTTCAGCTCAGAGGCAGGTGAGTGGCCAAGTATGGCAGGGGTGGGGAGCAGGTGGTCCTTTCTAGGTTGCACATCACTGATTTGGTGACAGGCATCCTGGGTTTGAGTGTCACCTTCTCTCTCCTAGTGTTACCCTGAAAAATTTAGTCATCTTGAATAAGGATTGATAACACCAACCTCTCAGTGTAGGATTCGTGAGAGTATGGGGGGGTGAGGGGTGGGGGCAGGGCTGTCATCCATCCAGTGCTCTCTGGCTCTTACCAGGAGGTGGTACCATGCTGAGGAGGGTGGGGGTCATTGCCTCCTCCACTTCACCATCTGGCCTTCCTCTCTCTTAGGGGGAAGAGGGTGTCTGCTTTCTTCCCTCCTGCCCTTAGGATGTAGAGCTCCATCACTCCACTCTGTGTTCCTCAGATGAATACTGTTCAACAGAGGTTTCTTGGAGGCCAGAGGTAGACCAGGCTGGTCTGGAACCCTGGCCTCTAGAGAGGACGACTCTTTTCTTCCCATGTTGAAGAACTCCTTGTACACACCTCACTGGGACACTTGATTGACAATCAGGGTCCTCTCACCATCTCCTGGGAAAGGGAGGAATTCTGTCATCAAAGACTCTTGCTTGCCTCTAGGGGATGTGAAGAGGGACTGCACCATCACTGGCTGGTCTGATCCCTTCCCACCATACCCTGTGGCCTGCCCTGTGCCCTTGGAGCTGCTAACCGAGGAGGTAAGCTGCTCCCAGCCAGCATCTTGGAGGAAGGTGACCACAAATACAGATAAAAAGTGATAGATTACCATTACCATCTCGGTAGGTGGCTGCCATTCCCACCATAGCCATCACGTGGGCATAGTATTTACAAGAGTTGTCCAGCAGATGGCGGTAAAGTGCCTAGTGAAGGTGGCCCGTTTACTCAAGGGTGACACTTGGGCTCTTTTGCTTTGAGGGAGAAGGGAAGCAGAGGGCCAGCTGAAAGTTCTGGTCACCCTCCTCTTGGTCAGCCTTTTCTATTCTCAGCTTCCAGTGCAGGAGCTTTAGTTATTTCAGAGGAAGCAGACTGTTGGCCGTGCTAGACAGGAAGCACTTGCTCTCTCTGGTCCTCAGCCAGTAGGACAGTATACTGGACGGTGGCATGGGCAAGAGGAGGAACTCAAGCAGGTAGTAATTACAGAGACCCCTGGCTCTGGGCAGCGTACCTCACACTCTGTACAGAGCAGGGTCTTCACAAGGCCCATCCACACTCACAGTCCCATTTCCCTCAGCCCTCAGCCCTCAGCCCCAAGAGTAAAAGTGTGGGCATGCTTACCTTTCAGATGTAGATCCAGGTCAGAGAGCTGCAGGAATTGCCTGAGATGAACAGCAGGGCTGGCGTGGAGGCAGTACCTGGCCGTATTACACCGCCAACTCGGGCTGATTCAAACACTTGGGCCCCATAGAGCCTTTTTCTGTCTGCCTGTGACTGTTCCTGGTGTCCTGGACGCCACCTTTACCTGGGAGTGACTGTGTTCTCAAAAGGGCAGTTAGCTGGTATCAATGAACAGGGCTACTTTCTCCTTGGACTTTTGTTAGTCTCCGGGGAGGTGGTTTCTGCTGCCTTGTCCCATTCCTGCAGCCTCAGTGCCCATATGGGGCTTTCTGCGGCGTCAGTGCCTGGGCGGTTGGTGGAGCTGCAGGCCACCTGCTTGAGTGCCAAACCTCTGTTCTGCTTCTGTCGTCCCCAGCAATCTTACTTCTCCACGGTGAAGATCATCTACACCACCGGCCACAGCATCTCCATTGTCGCCCTCTGCATGGCTATTGCCGTCCTGGTTACCCTCAGGTGCACCATTCTTGTCACTTGCTCAGTGACCTTCACTGACTCCTCTACTGTCCGGGGACCAAGTTCTTTGCCTGGATGGTCAGGAGGGGCTCAGAGCTACGTGAGAGGACCATGGCTGACTTCTTGCCTTTTCTCCAATGTGTGGGCCGTCACGCCAGAACTCAGTTCTGTGGCCACACCTTTGCTCATACAGAGCTCAGTCTGTTTGCTTCCAGTGCCTTCTTTTGCTTGGTGGTGTGTCCACTGCTGCCAACACTGGAAGTCCAGCTCTCTTCGGGTTCTAAGAATCCTCCTTGCCCCTGTATGACACCCTTTGATGGATGCAACTTTCTGAGCACTTTAGTGCTTTTTGGTTTGGTTTTCAGGATTGAGGCTTGAATCCAGGGTCCCCTGCATGGGCTCTGCCACCAAACCCACCCTCAGCCCTTACTACTGGGTGCAATGTCTTTTCAGCCTTCAGAGGCTGAGTTCCCCATGGGGCTGTGTCTCTGATCACCCAGAGGCTCCCATAGGCTCTGCTGGGCTGTGGCTGCCTTTGCACCCACAATTACAGAGATGTCTGAAGGTGAGGCTGTAGCTTGCTCTTGTACTTGAACCTAACCCAGGAGGATGCTGGCCAGATGACCTTCAGGGTCAGACTGACACACTCTGTTCACTTCTACTCAGTTCTTTGGGTTTGATTTCATTTGATGTGGCATTAGCTGCTTTGCATGTGTTCCCTTCTGCCCAGCCCCCCAGCCACGCCAGGCCTACTATAGGCCCTTGGGAATCTCTGTTGCAGCCAGAGCCCCAATTCATCTCTCCTGTCCCTTCCAGGAGGCTCCACTGCCCTCGGAACTACATCCACATGCAGCTGTTCGCCACTTTCATCCTCAAGGCCAGCGCTGTGTTCCTGAAGGATGCTGCCCTCTTCCAGGGCGATAGCACGAACCACTGCGGCTTGTCCACTGTAAAGGCTGTGGCTGGAGGGGGTTGGGGCAGAGGGAAGAGGGCAGAGGACAGGCCTGAATGTTCCTGGCCTGTTGCCACACAGGCTGACCCTGGACTCATGGCCAGTGACAAGTGAAGGAAGCCTCAGGTTTTCTTCACATATTCATAGATCACAATGTCAATCTGAGCTGCTTCCTGTTGCCAGGCCACCCCACAGCCACCGTTCCTCTCTCACCCATGCTCCCATTTAAGTTGGCTCCGGTGCCCAGCCAGCCATTTCATCACCTTTAATGAGTATCCCAGGACCAGGGTGGAGCTTGGCCCCTCCTTCCAGAAGCACCTAGGGGACAGGAAGCACCCAGATCTGGGGACTAGTGGGTCAAGAAAGCTGAGAACTAAGGAAATGAAAGGGCTTCAAGGAGGAGGTGGCCTTGGAGCTATGTGGGCACAACAGTAGAGAGACCAGGAGGAAGCTCTCAGTGATAGCAGAGCCACTGAACTGGAAGTTCTAAGTGGAGGAGCCAGGAAAGGAGAAGAGAGGAACGGATTGAAAACTGAAGGGGTCAGAGTTCAAGGTCTTCGAAAGTGTTCTGGAAATGAATAGATAAGTGACTCCCCAGACCAGCAAGTGGCCTGCTTTAATTAATGGATTAATTGCTGAATGAGAGGCACACTTACTTAGGCCGGGCAGCATACCAAGTGCTTTACATGTATTGTCTCGTGTGATCTTCAAATGCTGTGAAAGCCTCACTTTAAGCCTGTTTTGTTACCGAGGGGCAGCTGGCCAGGTCACCCAGCTACACAATTGGAGAATGGATAGAGCTTGGGCAGCCGGGCTCAGAGGTGGTACTATTGCCCACACAGGTAGATGAGGAAGCAAGGCCGATGGTCATATGCATGATGAGAGCATCTACATTCGAAGATCACAGATCAAAGCTGTGCATGGATGACCAGGCCATGATTATCACTCTAAAGAACTTCAGCTTTAGAAGGTCATATAGCAGAGGACATAGAGCAGTTCTTAGTGACCCTGAGACAAGGCCATGAGAGGTCCTGGAGTTCTTTCTTTCACAGAGAACGTTGAGGCTGAGGTGGTTTACATGTTTGACAAAGGGCACACGTGAACCCAACCTGTCTGTCCTCTGTCCGTCACAATTAAACTGTCAAATTCCTTTTGGGGCAGTCCAAGGAATGGAGCGGTCCAGCCCAGGGTAGAGGGGACCTGAGGGTTTAGTGTCTCAGTGGGGTGAAAGAGACCCAGTGGGGGCTGAAATGGGGCCCCAAGATCTGATGCGTCAACTCCCTGCTTCCAGATCCTGTGCAAGGTCTCTGTGGCCATCTCCCACTTTGCCACCATGACCAACTTCAGCTGGCTGCTGGCAGAAGCTGTCTACCTGAGCTGCCTATTGGCCTCCACATCCCCCAGGTCCCAACCGGCTTTCTGGTGGCTGGTTCTTGCTGGCTGGGGTGAGCATCAAGGGCTCATTGGCCACCATAGGGGAGGTGGAGGCTGGGAGGGCCCAGGGAGCTCTTAAAGAGGCCTTTTTTTTTATTGTGGGTGACCCTGAGGCCCAGGGAGGGGAAGGAACAGGCCACAGTTCTGTACTGAGCATGGGGAAGTAGACCAGATCCCCTCAAGCCATTGCCTGGTCCCCACCGTTATGGTCTGCACGTGGCTTACAGATTGGTGGGAAGCGGAGTCTAAACTCAAAGGAAAGCATGGGGGGCACTCACTCACACCAGTGTCGTCTGACCCGCAGGGATCCCTGTGCTATGCACTGGTACATGGGTGGGCTGCAAACTGGCTTTCGAGGACACCGCGTGAGTAGAACAACTCCCTCACCCTCGTGCTGTCCGCAGGGCGTGCAGTAGACCGTCTAAGGAGGAGGAGGAGGGAACCCCTAGCTTAGAGTGTGGCAGGTGTGCAGGCTGTCCTTAGTGCAGGAGGCGGGGTGTGTGTGTGGGGAGGGAGCTCCGGCAGGAGAGGCTGTGAGAGCTGTGTATCTCTGGAGACCAGCTCTGAGCAGGCCTTTTACAGGAAGGGAAACATCCGGACAAAGACGAGAGGAGTCAGCCAGCCTTCACTGGGGCTCTCCTATAGAAAGGCTGAGACAGAAGGTCAGGCCAGAGGGAGATAGAGAGAGGCCGAAGCCTTGAGCACTAGATGGGAGAGGATTCCAGAAGCCATAGAATGTGTGTAGAAAAGGGGCTCCTTCAAGCCCAGGCTGTCTTCTTCCCAGGTGCTGGGACCTAGACGACAGCTCCCCCTACTGGTGGATCATCAAAGGGCCCATAGTCCTCTCTGTTGGGGTCAGTCTCTGAGGCCAGTGTCCTTTGCCTTATTCAGCCAGCCTCTAGGTTTCCGAAGGAAATCAGGAAACTGGTGTCTAGCTTCTCTGGCAGGCTCTCTGGGCCACACTCACTGGTTGGTTTGTCAGCTCCTAGACCTGTTTTCTAGTTTCCATTGTGTCTGGCTTGCTGGTGAGCATCTCTTCCTGGGGTGGTAATGGTTGGAGATGGTGCCTATAGGTGAGCACTCAGCCTCTCCCACTCTCCATGTGGCATGGCTCCTGTGAATGTGTTATTTCTCCCCAGCAGAGAAACTGCCCAGTGATGGACAGTTGCTTTATCCCTTAGTGACCCTGGGAGGTGGCTGGAGGCAGATGGCCAGCGCTGACTCTCACCCTTGCTGGCAGGGCTGGAGAGGGAGGGGAGCCCTCAGTCTTCCTCTGACTTGCATCTCATGGGCTTGAGGTTCCTAGTCACCAAAGGAACTGGGGCCAATCCTGGGCCACCTGGTCCTGCCTCTGACTTTTGCACCCACTTTCCTGTGGCTCATTTTCAGGTGAACTTTGGGCTGTTTCTCAATATCATTTGTATCCTGCTGAGGAAACTGGAGCCTTCACAGGGTGGTCTCCACACTCGGGCTCAGTACTGGTACTGTGCATGTGTTCGTGTGTGTGTGTGTGTGTGTGTGTGTGTGTGTGTGTGTGTGTGTGTGTGTGTGTTTGAGGAATCCTCATGGAAAGCACTTGGAGGGAATGACAATTGTTTTTGTCTCATCTGGCAGTTATTTATTACCTTGGTCTTGTCCTCTTCCCTATGCCCCCTAGAGAGAGAACAGATCTGGCACCTACCTCCCATGAGATCACAGACAGGAAAGTGGGACACAAAACTGCCAGTTACCATGGCAAATGGCTGACAAGTGCTGCATCTCTTTCTATGGGGGCCCGGAGAAGGAGATTAAATCTAGATGGGGAATATCTAGAAAGGGGACTTAGAGAAGGCTTCCTGGAAGAAGCAGACTTTGAAAGATGTATCTAGACTCTGGAGTAGCTGAGATAACTGCATGGCCACAGCAGTGTGATGAGCCTTAGTAAAGAAGTCTGGAGATTTGTGGGAAGGACAGAGTCTCCAGGGGGATGATGGTAGGCAGCCTCGTAATAGAATTTGTCTTCTCCAAGGCGGCTTTCCAAGTCAACACTTCTCCTTATCCCACTGTTTGGAATTCATTACATCATCTTCAACTTCCTGCCTGACAGTGCTGGCCTTGGCATTCGCCTACCCCTGGAGCTGGGACTGGGCTCCTTCCAGGTGAGACTTCCCCATAGGCATTCCTTCCTTCCAAGGATTATGGCAGCAGACCTTGACTAGCTTCATGTTAGGGTGCGGCCTATTGTTATACATTGTCTATTCAATTATCTGTCCATCCATCTACCTGTCCATATTCCATTTATCCTTATATCTCTCTACTAATACACTCATCTGCCTATTCCCCAGATACTCACCCATCCACCCATATACCCATCCACTCACCCACTCACTCACCCATCCATCCACCATCCATTATCCGTTAATCAATTCAGCACTGTTTCCTCCTTCCAATCATCCCCACCTACCTATCTGTCACCTGCTCATCCATCCATCCTTTATTATCTAACCATCAATTCTTTTCCTTCCTCCCTCTCATTCATTTATCCATCATTTGTTATCAATTGATCAGTTGATCCACCCACCCACCTATCCATCTTTCCATCCGTTTTTTCTTTCTTTTCTTCCCTTCCTTTCTCTTTCCTTCCATCTGCTCCACTCACTCCTGCATCATTCCACTCACTCTTCATCCATCCATCCATCCATCCATCCATCCATCCATCCATATTTCTTTCCATATATCATCCATCCATATATCCGTTCTTCCTTTCATTCCTCCTTCCTTCAGTCCACTTGCCTATCCATTCATTCTTCTTTCTACTCATCTGTTCATCTATCCTCTATCCATATGTCAATGCATCCATCCATCCATCCATCCATCCATCCATCCATCCATCCATCCATTTGTCCTTTCCATCTATCCATATCCATCCACCCATCCTCTGATCTATCATCCATCCATCCATTCATATATCTGTTCTTCCTTCTATTCCTCCTTCCTTCAATCCACTTGCCCATACATTCATCCTTCTTAACATTTATCTTCTCATCCATCCATTCATCCATCCATCCATCCATCCATCCATCCATCCATCCATCCATCCATATGTTCACCCACCTGCCCATCTGTCCTTCCTTCCTCTTACTCACATGTCCACTCATTTATCCATCCATACATTCATTTATTAATCTATCTTATATTTTCTTTTTTTTCGAGACAGGGTTTCTCTGTAGTTTTGCACCTTTCCTGGAACTCACTTTGTAGACCAGGCTGGCCTCGAACTCACAGAGATCCGCCTGCCTCTGCCTCTCGAGTGCTGGGATTAAAGGCGTGCGCCACCACCGCCTGGCTATCTTATATTTTCAATTCTTACGGAGTACCTATCGTGTATCAAGTTGCATACTCACTAATGTAGATACAAAAATGAAGATACACAGTGAGATGGGGCTATCTACACAGTCCTGGCAGGCATGACTTGGTATGTCTAGAGCACTGTGAGTAATGAATGAGGGAGAAAACAATAGAAAGACTGCCACCTTCTAAGGTCAGCCAAAGTGTTCTCATGGAGTCCTTCCTTCCTCTTTGATCCCACAGGGCTTCATTGTTGCTGTCCTCTACTGCTTCCTCAACCAAGAGGTATGTGTGCTCTCGATGGCTCACCTTTACTCAACAAGTAGAATTTCTCCTCAGTCTCCTTTTCTTTTGTCCCTGCTCTATAAATTCCAGCTAGGCTGACTTCCATAATCCTCCACTCTTGTGAGCCTTTGTGGGAGCAGGTTCTGAGTTTCTGAATCAATTCGAACCTGAATACTTTCTGAATGCCTTGTACACATCCCTCTTCTGAGCTGGAATATGTTCTACCACCAACTCATGAGATGGAGGAGGTCTTTCAGGGGTCAAGGAAGGGTGGAGGACAAAGTAGATCAGTTAGTGGACAGAGAATGAAAGAACAGAGACAGGAACCAAGAAAGTCAGAGGTTCATATAGAAGGAACTAGGGGAAAGCAGAGACCGGAAGAGCCAGAGCAGAACAGGAACTAGAGAAAAACTCTGGAAGAAAGGGAATCTAGACCAGGATGCCAGAAGTGGAGGCAGAGGTGGAGCACACAGACAGCATAGAGGCCATGGCACATGTGGGACTCCAGGAGAAGGCAGGCTGCTGAGAAGAGATGCTCACCCTGAAGACCCTGTGGGTTCTCCTCTTGTGAAAGTCCTGCTGTGTGGAGACAGGCAGGGTGCACAGCAGCATCACAGATCCTCCTGATGGGCCTGTATTTGGCAGGGCTCTGTGGTCGGCCAACCTGGATGCCTCCTGTCCTATCTCTCTACGGTGAGGAAATTCCTTCCTTCCTCCCTCTCTTCCTCCTTCCTTCTGTTCTTCCTTTAACCTGCCCATCCATTCATCTTTCTTTCTATCTATCTGTCCATCCATCCTACCTTATCTGCCACCTCTGTCCCCAACTGTCCTTCTTCCTCTCTGATGCTCAGTGCACCCAACCTGGTCTCTGAGTCTTGTTCAGTCTTATCTGTGATGTCAACACAAGACCATAGTATCTGAGACTAGCAGTCCCAAGGTCCTGGGAGCTCTGGAAGAGGGTGGAGTAAGGATCAACCCTACAGAGGTGAGTTCAGTCTGGGAAAGGAGTTCACACAGAAAGTAGGTTGTGAGGGGATCTGTTTTAAGAAGCAGAGTTGGACATGAGGTGGTCATATACTTTTGGCAACAGGGAACTCACTTCCTTTCAATTACACTTTCTATTTTTGATTCCCAGAACAGGAACCAGTTTCCCCTTTCTCCATCATACAGCCCCAGATTAGCTATCAGGCAGAACGTCTCTCGGTTTCCTCTGTCCCTCAGCCAGACACAGATATAGATGGCTCCACTCCCTCTTCCCAGTTTTCTCTATCCACTGACCTCCATGACTTGAACATTAAGACAAGGGTAGGTCAAAGCCACTCAGAGAGGACCATCTAGGGATCTGGCCAGGAGGCGCAGAGGGCACCCATGTGTTTGACTGGCCTCAGACACAGGCAGTACTGAAAGACATAGAAAGAGTTAAAGGCCAAATGCCAGAAACACTCCAAGGAAGGCCTCCAGAGGCTATACGTGGTAGGGCCCATGACCAGGCTTTACTAGCCTGCCCTATTTCTCCCACACCATCTCTCCGGGCACCTTTAGTCTCCTGGGGTTAAGCTGAGGAGAGGCAGTGGGGTCTTTTTTAAACATCCTCTCCCTTGTCTGTGGAGGTGAGGACGGAGATCTCACGCAAATGGTATGGCCATGACCCTGAACTTCTGCCAGCACGTCGGACCTGCACCGAGTGGACCACGCCTCCCCGACCGAGAGTGAAGAAGGTGCTGACCTCAGAGTGCTAGGCCAGCCATCCCCAGGGGCTGAGCCCCATTCCCTGTACTCAACCTGCCATGCCACTGTGGGCAAGGAGGTCCCCACTCCTGCTCTTTGCATCTTCTTTCCCCCAGGTGCCTGTTTGTCAACCTCTGACTTTCTCAGCTCCCGTCTCTGCCCCCATCTGTTCTTTCCTCCCATCCAGGGCTATTGCCCAAGGCCCAGAGAAACCAATAAACTTGTACGTGAATGATCCGTGGTTGAGTCAATGTGGCTCTGAAGGGGAGCTCTGTAGCAGCCTTTATTTGTACTTCTGGTGCATTCCTCACTCCTTGGCTGGCTCCAGCTGCCTTATCGCCATTTGTCTCTATAAGAATTCTCATGTTTTATTTATTTTTTTAAAAGCACTCTCTTTTGTCCTAACCCTTCCTCCCATCCCCCACTCCTTCCACAGGCAAAGATGCGAATCTTTGCATTTCTATGTGTATTGCAAATGTGGAGTGTGCCACGTGTCTGTGTTTGAGTTCAAATAAATGCTATCCGTTATGCGTCTCATCCTGCCGCTAACATTTCCCCCCCAGCACTGTGCTTTTAAGAGCTCCACTGCGTTGCTGGGTGTACATCTGGTCCCCTGTTTTGACTGAACTGGGCCACCTGACACCATTGCCCACGGGTTACCCAGTCCCCCTCCCTCTAGGTGAATGCCCATCTGCCTGTCCTTCCAAGGACTGTAAGACAAGCCTTTCTCTGGGACTCACCAGGAACAGAGCCCTGGGGCATCAGTGCACCCCCTTTCCATATGACTCAGTAGTGCCAGATTGCAAGCTTGTGCATCAGCACCCTAGCAGCCCTTGCTGTTCGGCAATCCCTATAGCCCGGGAGCACTTGGCACTCTCCTTTCTTCTAATGTTTACAAGCTAAATGGGTGTAAAGTGGCAGCAGGCTGCTGGTCCCTTTCCTCTGATGTCAAACAAGCGTGAACAGCTTTTCTTGTGGCTGTTAGCCTTCTGGGCTTGGTCTGGAAACTGCTCACATCTCTGTTTTTCAGAGAGGTGGGAGTCTCCAGCTTTACACCTTTCTCCTTTGTTCTCCTGAACAAATACCAGAAAGAGGCAACTGAAGGGAAAGAGAATTGATTTCGGCTCATGGTTTAAGAAGGTGCACTTCACCGTGGTGGGAAAGCATGGTTGGGGAAAACAGGTCCCACCTGGGACAGCTGGGTTGTGAGACAGTTGGTTTCATTGCGTCAACGGGCAGGAAGGTGGGGGAATCTGGCTGGAACCAGAATCAGGCCAGGCTGTGATCCGTAGTGTCCATTCTCCAGTAACCCATCTCTTCTACCAAGGCCTCACTCTGAAGCTTCTACAGCCTCCCTGGACAGTGCTGTCTAGGGACCAAGTGTTCAAACATACGGGCTTATGGGGGCTATTTCCCGTTCAGATACTAATGTATGTCCTTCTATGTCCGAGCCTACCGCCAGCTGCTCTCACTCAATGCAGGCTTCCTTGATGCCACACATCCTCACTCTCCATCATCTTCTGCCCTCCTCCTTGGCAGGAAGAAGGAGGAAGAGAGCAGGCGCTGTCCTCAGGGACTTGTTTGCTGACTGGTGGGGTGGAGGATTTAATTAGGGCAGGAAGAAGTACACACAGTGTTGTGTCAGCATACAGCCCCTCTTCTTTTGGTCTACCACAGCAGCCGTGCTCTGCAGAGCCCAGCTCCACCCTAGCAGGAAGCCTTGCCCCCGCTACACAGCCCTCCTCCTCTCCTGCTGCCCTAAGAGCTCAGATCTCCTACTCTGTCTATCTAGCCCAGTGGTTCTTAACATGTGGGGCATGACCCCCTCAGGAGTCAAGTTACCCTTTCACAGAGGTTGCATATCAAATGTCTTGAATATCAGATATTTACATTATGATATTTAACAGTAGCAAAATTACAGTTATGAAGTAGCAATGGAAATAATTTTATGGTTGGGGGTCACCAGGACATGAGGAGCTGTATTAAAGGGTCGAAGCATTAGGAAGATTAAGAACCACTGCTCTAGTCTCTGCCCACATGGGCTGATGGCCAGGTGCTACTTCCTTTGTTCCAGACTTTGCTTGTGGCTCTGGGATGCCCTGCGGTCTTGTGTTGTAGGAAGGATCTGCTCATCCTGCATGGCCGCATTTTCTATCCAGGCTTCCTTTCCTATGCACTGGGGACAGAAAGGCTAACCTGTTGGTGTGCAGGTGTGTCTGATGGGGGAGGGTGACATTTTCCTCTCACATTCAGGAGGGCTCCTGAGAGGGGTGCAGCTGTATGAAGCCCGTGATGTCCTGCTACAGGGCTTCTGCCTTGGAAGGTGGCAGGCAAGTGTCAAAATCAGTGTGGTCCTATCTGAAAGCCACTGTACGTTCCTGCCTTTAGTCTCAGATCAGATAAGTAATTAACATTTATACCATTTGGGGCATACAGAAGGGGTTACAAATAAAATAAAAGCCAGCTATATTCATACACCAAGACATACATCCTAAGATTTCTTGTTTTCTGAAAGATTTCTTTCCCCTCTACATTTTAGCAACATTTTGGTGTCATAATAAATTTGTTAGTTTGCTTCTTGTTGTTATGCTTAAAAATAGCATTCAAAGACAATAAGCCCATGGGAGGGTGGTCAGCAGCAGTAGTCATTAGGAAAATGCCGATAAATCCACACTGAGATAAATCGCACTTAGGACAATGTTGGTAATGAAGAAAACTAGACAGTAACAAATGTTGTTAAGGATGTGGAGAGACTGGAACTCACATATCCCTGGTGGGAGTGTAAAATGGCCACAGTGATTAGTGAAAGTTGCTGCAGGATATTTGCAGATTCCTTTTCTTTTTCTGCTATGAAGTTTGCGGAGTCTGTATGATGTCCTTTATTTAGCTAATGGTTATTTACGAACTTGTCTTTGGTGAAGACTTCTCCCTCCTCCTCTTCTTCTTTACTTCCTTCTCCTCGTCCTTTTCTCCCCTCCTCTTCATCTTCCATCTTCTTCATCCTTCTTCTACTCCTTCCTCTTCTTTTCTTTTCTTTTTTAAAGTAGATAGCTGTGATGGCAAACTTTCTTTCATGAAATTCTCTGTGAACTTTGACAAAGGGGGCATTTGGAATGAACAGAAACTTCCAGAATCAATTCTCCTAGACCTAGGATTCTTGTGTCAAATATAGACTGCTCCCCACAAAGGTGGTTTAGTGCTTCCATGACTGTGACAACGTGATGGATTTCCTGCACTGTTCCCATGGAAACACTTTTCACTAATGCTCTGACTGGTGTTGCACTATTGCAGTGGTGTTGGTTAATGGTTAGTGTTAGCTCAGTTAGTGTTAACCTTAGTGGTTAATTAGTGGTGAGCAGCTAGTTAGTGTTAGCAGAGTCTAGTGTTAGTGCTGAGTGTTAGTGGTTAATGGGAAGTTAGTTGCTAGTTAATGGTTAGTGCCAGTAAATGCTAGTTAGTGGCTAGGTAGTACTTACCTAATGAAGCTTATGCTGTCCGTTTTGGTGGACACAATGGCTTTGGGAATGATGCATCTGGTCCTAGGAATTTTATTGTGGTTAATTCTTAGTCTCTTCCAATTTCATTCTGAGCTTCAAATTTCCACCACTTCTTTCTTTCTTTATTAAGAAATTTTTTATTCATTTTACATACCAACCACAGATCCTCCTCTCTTCCCTCCTCTCATTCTCCCCCCAGCTTCCCCACTAACCCCCCCCCATTTCCTCCTGCAAAAAGGTAAGGTCTCCCATGGGGAGTCTGCAAAGTCTGGTACATTCAGTTGAGGCAGGTCCAAGCCCTCCCCCTGCATCAAGGCTGTGAAAGGTGTTTTATCATAGGCACTGGGCTCCAAAAAGCCCGCTCATGCACCAGGGATGGATCCTGATTCTACTGCCAGGGGCCCCTTAAGCAGACCAAGCTACACAACTGTCTTATGCAGAGGGTCTAATCCAGTCCCATGCAGGCTCCTCAGCTGTTGGTCTAAAGTTCATGAGTTCCCACTAGCTTGGTTTGGTTGTCTCTGTAGCTTTCCCCATCATGATTTTGCCCACCATTTCTTTAGTCTACTCTGTGAGAGGGCTCTGCAGACTTAGAATATATCTGCACATGCAAGTTCACGGTAAATCTCTTGAATGGCAAACTCTTTCTCTCTCAGAATCTTGGCTTTCCCTCAGTGTCAGGAGAGAATGTCTAGAAGATGATGTCTGAGGGTTTTCTTGAGGGACACTGGATGAACTGGTGTATAGTTAGTTCAGTGGTAGAACCCACGTATGGAAAAAAACACTTGGGGAAGAGAAAAAGCAATGCTCATCCTGGCCACCAGGTGGCATATGAACTGTGGCCAAGATTGGGAACTGGGCCCTTGGTACTCCCTGGAGGAGGTCCTGACCTGGAGTGGGACAGAAGACTTGCGGAATCTGGCTTGGGGCTCAGCAAGTCTAAGAGGCTGGTGGAAGAAGGGAGGGGGAAAGGAGTGTCCTGGAAGAAGGGGAGCCTTGCTGAGTAAGAACTGTATAAGCAGAGGGAGCTCTGAGGAGACAGGAAAATCACTGTCCCATGGGTCTCCTTACAAGGGTCAAGCCACAGGGAGCTTCCTAGGGACCCTGGCTTTTTTTGGGAAAAGTTCCTTTCTGGTTTCCAATCCACATGCTCCTCTAGGCACCTCTCTTCAGGTCCTGAGAGGAGTTTTTTTTTTTTTTTTTTTTTTTTTTTTTGGTTTTTTGAGACAGGGTTTCTCTGTGTAGCTTTGTGCCTTTTCCTGGAACTCACTTGGTAGCCCAGGCTGGCCTCGAACTCACAGAGATCCGCCTGGCTCTGCCTCCCGAGTGCTGGGATTAAAGGCGTGCGCCACCACCGCCCGGCCTGATAGGAGTTTTGTATAGAGACAGAAGGAAGGGAAAGGGAGGGAGGGGGAAGGGAAGAAGGAAGGAAGCAGGAAGGAAGGAAGGAAGGAAGGAAGGAAGGAAGGAAGGAAGGGAGGGAGGGAGGGAGGCAGGGGAGGGGAGGGAGGAAGGGAAGGACTTTCCTTGGTGCTTGGGCACCTCCACTCCTAGGAGTGTGCAAAGCCCTAAGATAGAGCCTGGGGCTGGATGTGAGAACAGCCATGTTGGATGTGGATGATTAGGGCAGAGGGTATGGGCGAAGGCGGGGTGGCTAGGGAACAAGTGCTTGGCTGACTGTGTATCTTGGAACCCAGTTGGGCTGAACTGCACAGGGCGTGTCCTGGTTCTGCTGCCC